ACAAACACCGAACACCACACCCTATTTTGACCTTTGGCAACAACAAACAATCTCATACATCGATGAAACACCATACGCCGGATTTCATTACCTTCCACAACCGATATCAACTCAAGCACTAGCCATGGCTACTGGTCAAACAACGACCCTATGCCATGGCCATGGATGCACCAGTGACGAAACAATAAATAACAAGAAGAAAAAAAATAAAGAATTGATGATTTAATTGGATTAATAGCAAGACAAGAAAGATTAATTAAATTAATTGTAGAGTAATTTTAGATCTATTGCTCTGATACCATGTAAAGTTTAGAGAGATAACATAACACAATATTAGAGAAATAGAGAGTGGTCAAAAACTTAACTTAACTCTCATACATCACTTGTATTTATAGTTAAACTCACAATACTAAGAATTATACATACACCCCTCTTACTATTAATAATTTACATATACTACCCTAATATTCTTAACAATCTTTATAGGTCCTTGATGAAGCGGACGCCAGCGAACATGGGTGAGTTAATGACCTATATCAATAAGTACTCAAGGATACAGGACGAGTTAGTGGCGAGTAAGGGAAATAACTTGACCCCTAAGAGAAAGGAAAAGGAGAAGGAGATAATCCCTCCCAAGAAAGGTTTGATCCCAGTGTCGAGAATTCCTTCAAAGGAATTCACACCGTGTTCAAGAAACCTATTTACAAGTTGTTGCACAAGATCAATAAGGAGTCATTCTTTAAGTGGTCGCCTAAGATACAAGGTGATTTGTCCACCCACAATCAGAATGTCAAGTGTTCATCCAAAAGGATGTGGAGTACCTTACCGAGGACTGCCGAGTGTAAAAGTCTTTCTTGAAGAAGTTGGTCTAGGAGGGACACCTCCAGGAATACATCGAGCAGGAGACACCAAGGGAGACAGATGTTGCTGATGACCATACCACTGTCTATGACAATGTCATCGATGTCATCCATGTTTGTCCCATAGAAAGGCTGACGACCAATACCCTTAGATTCGACCTAAAGATGGTAGCTTTTGCCAGGAAGTGGAGGAGAAAGATGGCGGCCAGACAAGTAAGAGGCCCTGGATAGATCAAATGGGCATCATCTTCTCGAACGCCGACCTAGCAAGCGTGGAACACCCCCATGAAGATGCCTTCATCATAACTCTAAAGACAACAAACTTTGATGTCAAAAAGGTCCTGGTCGATTCAGGGAGCTCCTTAGAGGTAATGTACCTCGATGTACTAAAGCGAATGGGTCTTGGGTCCAAGAATCTAACCACTATTAAGATACCCATTGTTGGATTCAACAGATCATTTGCTCTACAGCTAGGAAAGATCATTTTGCCAGTCACCATGGGACTTGTCATGATCAACATGGAGTTCGTGGTGATCAATTATGATTCATCATACAACATAATAATGGGGTGGACTTGGTTGCACTCACTTGCAGCAGTGCACTCCACCTACCATCAGAAATTGAAGTTCCCCACCCCGAACGGGATAATAGAGATTTGTGGAGACCAATCTCATCAAAGAGTTGTTTTTTTGTTGTCGTAAAAGCTGAGGTTACGTCCAAGGAAAGGGAGTGTGCCCTTGAGGAAGTGTTGAACAAATAGTAATTATAGTCGAGGAGTCTAGGCGTCAATGAGCTGCAGATTGACCCAGTCGACCGCTCCGTGGAGGATCTATGGAAGGTACTACTAAGGGAAGGAGACGAGAAGAGGTAATTCCCAATCGGCTCCACCATGTCCACGACCGAGTAGGAGGAGATGAAAAATTTCTTGAGGAAGAATATGGACGTGCTTGCATGGGATGTCGCAGAGATGAAAGACATAAGTCCGGATGTTATAACTCATAGACTTCATGTTGATCCTAATCATAAGCCCGTCAAGCAAAAGCCTTGGCGTATGACACTACACCATGCTCAGGTAGTGAACGCAAAGGTAGATAGGTTCCCGGAAGCCGATGCCATTCGGGAGATGCAATTTCTGGAATGGTTGTCAAATACCGTCTGCACAAAAAAGAATATCGGGAAGTGGCATGTGTACGTGAACTTTACGAATTTGAACAAGGCTTGTCCAAAGAATGATTACCCCTTACCTAGTGTTGATCAGTTGGTTGATGCTACGACAGGACACAAATGCATGACTTTCATAGATGATAGAGCCGATTACCATCAGATCCCCCTCCATCCCGCTTGACCAGGAGAAGATTGCCTTTATCACTCCGAGGGGGTCCATTGTTATAAGGTCATGTCGTTCGAGCTAAAGAACATAGGTGCTACATACCAGAGGCTCATGAACCGAATGTTCAAGAAACAAATGGGAAATACCATAGAGGTGTACATTGATAATATGATGGTCAAGAGCAGGAGCAGAAATGATCATGACGCAAAATTGGAAGATTCCTTCTCCACTCTCCGTGTATATGGGCTAAAGCTGAATGCAGCTAAGTGTTCTTTTGGAGTTGGCTCTAAAAAGTTCCTAGAGTACTTAGTAAGTCTACGTGGCGTTGAGGCCAACCCGGAGCATATATAAACTATCATGGATGTACGTAGCCCCCAGACCGTCCAGGATGTCCAGAAACTTAAGGTAATGTTGGCCGCCTTAAATTATTTTATATCCTAGTCATTGGACAAGTGCAGGCCGTTCTTTGGTGTCATTAAGAGGTCCGGGAAAGACACTTAGAATGAAGAATGTGATAAGATACTCAGAAGGATTAAGGAGTATCTTAGGGTCCTCCCGACCATGTTGATTCCAGAAATGGGGGAGATGTTATTCCTTTATTTGGCCATTTCTGAGTTTGCTGTTAGCGACGTACTGATCCACGAGCGTGAACATGAAGAGAAGCCGGTGTACTATGCAAGAAAAACTCTCCTGGATGTGGAGACAAGATACTTGTCTTGGAGAAAATTGCATTGACACTAGTCACGACCGCATGAAAGTTGAGACGTTACTTTCAAGCGCACCCCATCACCTTCCTAACAGATCAACCTTTGAAAGCGATCCTAAGAAAAGTGGACCTCTCTGGGAGGATAGCAAAATGGGTCGTGGAGTTAAAGGAACATAATATCCACTATAGACCTCACACAACGATAAAAGGACAAGTGCTAGCAGACTTCATTGTTGAGTTTATCCAAAGGGAGTCACTTACCCCCGAGGAACCCGCAAACGGACAGGTGCACTTATAGATAGATTCTCCAACAGCAAGGTGTCTAGAATTAGGGTGTTATTGATCTCCCCGAATGGGTTGGTCACGGATCAAGCTATACGATTGGGCTTCAAAGCATCCAACAATGAGGTAGAGTACAAAGCTCTCATCTTTGGACTCAAACTAGACGATGCAGTGGGGGTAGCGGAGCTGACGGTCCTTTGTGACTCCGTATTGGTGGTCAACCAAATTAATGGGCGGTTTGAAGCAACGGATCCAAGAATGAAAACCTATCACCACAAGGTAATGAACCTACTTCACAAGTTCAAGAAAGTGGAAATCAAACAGGTCCCACAAGATAAGAATGCACATGCCGACGTTTTAGCATGCTTAGCCTCAATGTTGGACTCCAACATGACACGAAGGATCACCGTAGAGTTTCTTCCCAACTCTAGCATAAATGATGTCCCGGAGTGATTGCAATCTAGGAAGGGGAAAGGTCCCTTAGCTGGATTGATCCCTTACTCAAGTTCCTTGTATCTGGAGAGCTCCAAGAATGTTCCAAGGAAGCCAAAAAGATAAAGTTGAGAGCCCCAAGGTTCTGGGCCTCCCTAGATCAAAAGTTATACTGCAAATAATTCTTATGACCCAATATGCTTTGTGTCCATGAAGATAAAATTAAGCCCCTTCTTATGAGGTGCACGAAGGCATATGTGAGGGGCACTTGAGTGTAATATCAATTGCCCATCGAATCATGTCACAAGGATATTGGTGGCCACGGAAGTAGCGGGACGTGTAAGCTTACATGCAAATGTACGACCAGTGTCAAAGGTTTACCCCTACCATCAAGCAACCAGTGGGAGACTTTCACCCACTAACCAATTCCTGGTCGTTTGACTAATGCGGACTCGACTTGGTCGGGCCTCTTCTAAAGGATCTTGGAAACAAGAGATTCTTAATAGTTGGGATCGATTACTTCACAAAATAGGTTGAAACTGGGCCGTTGACTCATATTAGGGACATGGACACCAAGAAGTTAGTATGGAAGAACATAGTAAGGAGGTTTAGGATCCCTCGAGCACACGTATTGGACAATGGGACTCACTTTAATAGCGGACCTTTCAAGTCTTTTTGTGAGCACCTCAGAATCCAAAATTACTACTCCACGCCTTCGTACCTGTAAGCCAACGGACAAGCAAAATCTTCAAACAAGACTATCGTCAATGGAATTAAGAAGAGGCTATAGAAAGCTAAGGGAAAGAGGGTAGAGGAGCTCCTAAATGTCCTTTGGTTTTTACAAGACGACCCCATAGACCTCAACGGGGGAAGCACCTTATGCCCTTGCCTACAGAGTAGAGACGATTATCCTATTGGAAGTTGGCCTTCCCACTATAAGAACACAAGCTGTTGACACATGAGAAAACGGTCACCAACTCAGCCTGGACTTGGATCTCGTGGAGGAAATAAGAGAAATGATTGCCTTGTGGTTAGCAAAATACCAGGAAGGTGTGTCCAAACTCTACAATAAGAGGGTGAAACTCTAAAAATTTCAAGTTGGCGACCTAGTGCTCAGACAGGTAGTGGAAAATACTCGTGATCCAATCAATGAAAAGATGGGACCTAACTGCGAGGGACCATACAGAGTTATATCAGTAGAAGGTTTTGGGTCATACAAGTTAGAAGATATAGAAGGAAACATTGTACCGCGGCCTTGGAATGTAATGAATTTGAAAAAGTATTATTTTTTAAAAAAGAGTATCTTATTTTATATTCCAAAAAATAAGGGTTTTGCGTCCTTCAAGCTACACAAAAAGAAAGCTAAGTTACAAGGAATTAAAAAGTTGCGCTATGGGGGACCAGTGACATCGTCACTGATGCCACCCCACACGTCATTGAAGAGCTCATAAATGCTGGCAGAGAAAGAGTCGACGCTACGAGAAGTAGGCGTAACATTGGCATGAGTAGTGGAGACTTCACCTTGAGGAGTTGGCACAATGTTAGTGGGGGCAGGAGTGGCGTCTGATGGAGCAACAAGCGTGGTGTCGGCAAAAGTAGTGGAAGCCTCGGGCAAAGGAGCAGTGTTTCCTTGAGGGGCAAAGATTGGAGTTATATTCTTGGCTGGTGGAGCTGGATTTGGGACTTGAAGCGTCCCAGCATCTTCGGCAGCAACCTCAGATGTGGCTTGCTCCAACTTCTCAAAGGGAATGTACTCGTGCTTTTTGAAGAGTGGGGACTCAGTAGGAACTTTAGCGGCCTGAAGCACCTCATCCCATCCCTTCTTGAAGAACTCCCTCTTCGTCTCCTCAAATTCAACCACGGTGTCGTTGGTGCATTGATTGACGATCTCCTGCTCTATCTGTTTATTGGCCTCTATCTCAGACCTTAATTTGTCCAACTCTTGAGTGAGGGAGGCACAAATCTAATCTCACTCGGCCACCCTTGCCTTGGTCATAGACACCTGCTTCGCCGCCTCGGTCATTCTCTTCTCGGCGTCGGCGAGCAAAGTTTTTATCTCATCAACCTCTGCCTTAGCATTTTGGCTCTCTTGGAAGAGCTCAAAAATCTGGGCCCTTAAGTGAATAGAGTCTTGTCTCGAGCGACCACCTTCTTCTTGGCCATGATGAGAGCCTTGCGGGCTTTCTCAAGGTCAGCTTGGAGTTTTTCACACTCATGGACCTTGTCCCGATGGGCATGGAAGCGCTCGGCAATGACGAACACCTGTTGAGCCACCTAGAAGACAAAGGGATGAAAGTCATGCTCAGTAAGATGCTAAAGCAAAAAGAAAAAATTCATAAGTGTTGAAACCTTACCATCAATGAACTCTAGATAACAGAGTGGAACAATTGATTGTTCCCATGCCCCCGGTGGATCGGCATGCCGGTGTCAAAGTGGATTGTTTCATTCACGACATAGGTAATGTGAGGAGAGGCAATAAGGAAGTTAGTCACCTGAATTGTTTGGTTGTCGCGATCTTGGCCTCTACCACGCCACTCTGGAGCTGTTGGGCTCGGCATCAATGTGGGCATTGAGGTCGACATTGGTGTCAGTGTAGGAGTGTTTTGGCTACGACCAGCACCATTGTGCCTTTGCTTTATTCTTCTCTCCTCAACTTGAGGATCTCTAATATGGACTCGATCACGTCCTTGAAATGTCGGCAAAACAAGGGCGTCAATTGGTGGAGGAATTAGGAAGGGTGTTGGCCCTTGGATTGTGACCCTAGAAGGACGAGTGCATCTCTGATTGGGGGTGACCTCAAAACCCGAGCCATGCCCCCATCCAGTAGCGAGTGTGGTTCTTTCCTTAATTAAGTTGAGAGAGAGAGAGACAAGATAGGTTGGACTCAGCAATTTCCAAGGCATCTTCTTACTTAAGATTTTGAAAATTGTTGAGGTCTGGCCAAGCATCCCTGCCCAAAGTACTTTCCTCGGCGTGGATGGATCCCTTATTTCCTCGGCATTGGCAATTGTGTCTTCGACAACCTCTACCTTGGCGTTGGTAGCTCTGTCGGGGTTATTTTCTAAGTTTTACCAGATAACACTGACCACCTTGCTTGATCAAACAGTTGAGGAGTTTGGGAGAATTTTTTGTACTTCAAAGTGTAATCTAGCAACACGTGCGTAGCTCAGCTAAATCCGTTGCCCACATATCCCCAGACTATGATCAGATCGGCAACGTTGACATGACTCTTACAAAAGCAAAGGAAAGAGGATTAAAAACAAGTATGGATATGTCGAGGTGGTGTAAGTCAAGAAAAGAGAGAGAAGTTGTCATACTCGCAAACCGTCGAAGACGAGTAGGTCATCCTTGTACCCCTCGTTAGAGTTTGGAAAGTGTGTCATGAGGTACATAGTAAGGTCTCGGGCCTTGAGATAAAACTTTTGATGAGGCATCACCCTTACCAAAATGTAATATAAAAAGATGTCTTCCAAGCTGACGTTGACCTGATGACATTCGTTTAGGCCACCACTCCCAAGATGATCCTAAAAGTGTTCAGGCAATATTGCCTCGGAAAGAGACAAAATTAGAATAGAAAGTAAAGGAGGATAGGGTAGAGGGGAAATCTGACACCACCCTCCATAATGGTCTTGGTATTAAAGGTCATGGTTGCCTCAGTGCTGACATCGACGCTATGGAGTCCAAGAATGAACTCATTCATAGTCACCCCAAGGGAAATCGAATAATGGGTCCTAAAATTAGTGATTTATTGTCTACCCTTCACTGTATACTTCCTCAGCCTCAAGGGACCAGCCTCGTTGGCCCTAATATTCGTATTTTGACGATGCCTCATCATGGAATAGGTAGAAAAGACTCAAAGATGAGGACCCTAAGGACAACCGAGTGAAGAAAGGGAGGTATTGAGAAAAGGAGAATAGAGGAAAAATTTTATCTATTAAGAGAGTAGAAAGAGGCAGTTACTCATCAGTGAGTCTAATTGGAATCTAGAAACAAGCAAGAAGAGTAGGACTTCCTCTAACAGATCTCCAAAAGTAAGGTTAATGGTCTCTCTCTCTAATTGGCTTTGAAGAGTTTATGGCTTTCCAACAAGTCGTGGCTTCTTCACTGGAACTCCGACGAATAACTGTGAACTCACAGGGATTGCAGAAGTGGAAAAAGGGGGCAAGGGCTCTGTTTAAATAGGGCTAGGGCCCATTATTGCTCACAAGGAATGAGGGGCGCATTAAATAAGGCGTGAGCCCCAAATAAAGGAAAGTGGTTGCACGAGGGGAGAAAGGTTAAGCCCTTTCATCTTCCTATGCCACATCATCTAGGTCGTACAAAGATCAAGGGCTGGGGGGACTTGATGGGACGTTTCCATGAATTGATGGGGAGACGACATGTGGCCTCGGCATGATAAATGTGGAGCCTCCATGAATAGACATGTGTCCTTGGCATGAGAGCCCTCAGAGCCTTCTGTGATAGACATGTGTCCTCAACGCAACAAGACTCGGACCCTCCGTGAAATGACACGGGTCCTTGGCGTAAGTACTTTTGGAGCTCTCAGTGACTGACATTTATCCTTGGCATTTGTAACTCTAGAGCACCCTATGTTTACACACATCCTCAACACCAAGGTCCCTCAGAGCCCCAATTACTTGACATGTGTCCTCGGCGTCAAGGTCACCCAGAGGGACCCATCACCTGACACATCTCCTCAGTGTTGAGTCCTCCACGCCAGCCATGGACAGTATTTTGATAGTTATCAAGACTTTGAAGCAAAGCTAGTTGTCAATGATCGGTTCTCCCTTTCCCAGGCTATCAAAAAAGTAGGAAAGATACTCCCTCGGAAAGATGGGATGCGTTAATTGCTCGGCAAGACCAGGAAGGCAAGTATTAAATGCTCGGAGATCCGCGCATTAAATGCAGAAGCTTCTATCATGTGAAAAGGAAGGCTTATTGCTCGATGACTAAGCACCACCTGTCGCTTTCTAGATGAGCCAATGAGGAGCTTTCCCTCCAAGAGACCCAATAGTCCGCAATGATTAACTCCAATAAGGTATACATAGCTCTCACAAACACAAGTCTAAGGTACGCGAAATCTCACCCAAGCAATAAAATTGTGCTTTCTCGCTTTTCTCTCACATATTGACTTGATCATCGGAGGGGTCGCGCCAGAAAATACTTCGACACCCTTCTAACCTTTCTTTTTGAGTGACATGATCTAGTTCGAGATCTCGCGAGAGTTTCCTCACTTGTCATTACAACTTTCAACATTTATATGCTGCAGAATCTTCAACTTTCCAGGCAGACTCGAGTTCACTAGGGGAGAGATATGTCAATTCATTCATTATGCCAAAATCCTCGTGCGCATATAGGTTCATCAAAATTTGTTTTTGATGTCAGTTTGATTCCTAATAGTATTCAAACAGTTTTACTTGCTCGTCTTCTCTAAGCCACCCTAAGAAGCAGCAAAATGCAATGTTAGAATACCCAGAAGACTCCACCAAATTCTTGGCGTTTATGTTAAAGGCAGAACATTGGTTGAACTCATACCAGCATGTAATTAAATGCAGGGATTTTCTTCTGGGTACCAAACTCCGGTAATCTTTTTCCCGATGTTTTTCCCGACGCTGTTTTAGATGACAATCAAAACAAATGCCAGATGAACGTTGGCAATAGCTTTTTCCGGCATATTTCCCTTAATTTCTGGTAACAAATCACATAATTTGAGGATAAAATAAAATAATTTTTTTGCTAAAATTATAAAGAACGTAATCATTACGGTAATGTTAAACAAACAATATAGTGAATGTGCAACATGAAAACATGATAGTTGAGGGTTATGAGAGAAAAGGTCACGGTGAAGGGTCAAATTATCATTTAACCTATAAATTTTTACTGTCGACCTGCCCTATTATTAGACCATTTCAACAATCCACTTTAGCACAAATGTCACCACTCATAATGGCTGTTTACATTTTTGATTATTTGTAAATTTCGATATTACTGATGGGACTCTTCTGAAAAAGCCTATGATGAAGACACATGTCCTCGGGGATTTCCAGAACAATGTTGCTCGGGTTCAAGCACCATCGGCAAAGCTTCCTCTCCCGAGGTACCTCTCATATAGGATCACATATTCGGTACAGTATACAATGACATGTGTCCTCGGTCACCATGTACCTCGGGAACACACCACCCTTGGTCCCCCGAGGTGAGCCTTTCCTCGGTGCCGAGGGTCACTCCATCCCGGACGCTTCCTCTACTCCCGGATAAAGTTACTGACGTACGGGACATCAGCCTATGCCAGTCTGGACTATTCATCATGACCTCGTCTTACACAAGTAATGTCAGAACATGCTGGAACACAGAAGTCTTAGCCAATACGTGACGGACGCGTGGCATATGATATCACATCAAAAACAGGCAAACCGCACGCTATTGCTGACATGCGCTTTGGGAAGCAAACAATTAATTGCACCCTTCTGTTGACAAGACCGCATTTAATGCGGTAAGGTTCGGATATGAAAGGCAATAAATGCTCCTATTACAGAGCATTTATTGCATCCTTCCCGAAAGGAGCATATTGTACCGTCGGCGTCCCGACAACTCAACATTAATTGCTCGGGACCCCGAGCAGTCAATTAGAGAAGACATTCCTCATCAAACCAATACACACGCTGCCAGTGCCTAATGATCACCTGCTGACCACACTGACAGCAATCATGAGCTTCTAAGGTATAAATACCCCTC